GCAGTGCTTCAGACTTGACAAAATATTCATTTATTATTTCATGTGCTTACACTCATCCAGGTAGACAAAATAAGTGTGATCATCACCATCCGACAGATGTGGAGGCAGCAGTGTGGTTAACAGTTGCTCACAGTCACCCAGCTAGTAAACGGCAACACCAGAAGCCCCCCAGTGTTCTCCCCCACACAACTGTGGCACTTTATACGTAAATACTCGGTTCAGTTCCACGAAAACATGTTCGGTTGCACATTTGAAAGATAACTCTCACCTGAGTCCATGAAAATGTTTCTACCCAGAGGGGAAAAAAGCAATACCAGCCGTTCAAAAGGAAAGATAGGAGTGAAATATAATACAGCTGTCCATGCTTAACATTTGTTTGTAAACCAATGCCAAAGTTTTGGTAACATCTACATCTTTTGTTATAACCACAAGACCGAAAACTGTAACGCTATGATAACATGTTGGGTTTGCAATTTGAAGAGATTCAGATGTCTCCGAGGAGTTACAAAACCATACAGAGATCTATAAGCACAGGCAACTTAGAAGGATGCTGGTTGTGAGTGGATCCATCCAGAAGGGGAGCTCAGGCGCCCATCTGGGCTGGAGAGCACTACTTCTCAACCAATCCTAAAGACCTCCCTAGAGGTGCTCAAACACTAGGGTCCTCCAGAATCCCTTGGGGAGGTTGCAAAGACACAGGTCCCCAGGTTCTCATGCAGTAGGTATGGCAAGGGGCCCCATACTCTGCCTTTTTTAACCATTAACCTCAGTAACTCTAATACCAGCAGGGCTCAGACGACCTTTTGAGAAATGCTGTTCCACCACTGCCCATGAATATCCCACTTCAAGCAGAGCAACAGGTCCCGAATTCCAGTGGTGGGTCTCACAAATGACACCAACAAGAGGGTGAAAATCTGAAAGGGACACCCTTGGCCCCTACTTTTAGTCCTTTTGACTGGGGAGTAAACTACAGCTAAAAGTGTAAAAACAATGAGAAATAACTACCAGTTACTTATTAAATTTCCACATTTAAATGTCCCATCCCATATTCTGCCCTGAGATTCAATTCACTCTCTTCACCCATTTAGATACCTCTGAACACCCAGTGCAGGAATTGCCCAATCTGTCAATAAGGTAAGAGTTTTCTAAACTACTGTCCATATGACTCAATTTGTCAGTAAAAACTGCCACCAGCACTGCACGTGCAGAAAAATGTCCATAAATGCATTACTGCGACTGGCAGATCGATGTCTATAATAAAAACAAATAGATTTAACAAGTGCCTGCTTTTACAAGTTGTGCCATTGGTGGGCTGCACATTCAGTTTCACCCCTGGACTTCTGGGAACGGGCAGTGCAGCTTGGCTTGGACACTCTGCTGACTTCACAACTGTTACAGGAAGGAAATTATTCTAACAAGAAAATGTTCAAAGTAGTGGAGTGAACATCCTAGGTATTTACAGCTCTCTCACAATTCCTTTTGTGCTTACGCAAAAGACAACAAATTCAACAACCCTAAGAAAATGTTTCTGTAGAATTTTTAACCGGTTTTGCCACAGCTCTATCACAGGCCACATGAGTTTACTCCAGGTGGGGGCAAGGGACACGAGGCCTGTCTGCCTCCCTGGAGACCGTCTACTCTGCCACTAAGCCCCTGATCTAACTGAAAACAACTTCCAGCATTGAGAACAAGTTTCAGCATTCAACACGTGGCCAAGGATGTCACTGTTGGGTCAGTGGCCCCTGGGGCAGCCTAGTCACTTAGTTACTGAGTTGGAGCAGACATCAGGGGGGTGACTGTCACAGACTGGTTTAACTGCCAGGGATTGCAAGCACTCTGGCAAGACACTGTCTGTGACCAGTATACATGTGAGCCACATCTGCCAGAACCACTGATTCCTTCAAAGGTTACAAAAGGTCAGAAAAAATGATTTATTTCTCTTCTTAGAGAATTCATTTTAACAGCTATATAAAGAAGTAAGTCACTCACTATATTCCATATGTTCATTATACGGTTCTCCCCAAACGCTGCAGCCCTCCCCTATAAACTCTTTATTACTGTTAATTTTTCTAAGTCAAAAGAAAATTGGACTATTTCTTTCCACTGGCCAGCAGATAGGCAGCAGTTACCCAAATGCCACAGAACACACATCTTGCAGCGTTCTGTCTACAACACTGGATCTCAAACTTTCATCTACCTACGCCCAAGACAGGCCTCCAGGGCTAACAGAACAGGAAAAGTGATCATGTCAACGAAGGGGAAACCAGCCCTCCTGCACAGCTCCAACCTTCCTCCCCCAGCCAGATAAACCACACACTTTCGAACCAAGAATGAGGCGTTGGGTTGGTTCATTTGTCATGAGCGGATATGAAAAGGCTGGTATGGAATCCACTTTCACCCAATGGTAACACTATAGTTTACCTGTCTGATTTTTAAATCTTCAGGTTTTGTTTAAATAATAATCTGTGATAAGACCCAAACTCTTGCAGAAAGTAGTTGTATCAGAAGCTACCCACCCCAGGAAACAGAGGGTAGGGGAGGACCGTGACAGGAGCCAAATGAGCCTAGGGCCTTTGTGAGACCGGGAGCCAAGGTGTGCACCTGGACCCAAAGACACAACCAGATGTCAGAACCGGATGGGGGAAGTGGAGCTGAAAGAGGCACCTGACGCTGGCGCAAGAGGCTTAGGCTGGGTGAGAGTAAGTGTGAAAACAAACCTGACAACGCTAACAGATGACCACAGGCAAAGGGGATGCAGAAAATACTGTTTTGCTTCCTTTTTTTTTTCTACAAGGAGAATACTTTATTAACTGAAAAGGACACTGATGCCCAAAAAAGGAAGCTGCAATGAAACAGGCTTGTGGTTTGAATCACTGGCTTCTAAACGTCCTCTGCAAAATGAGAAAAACACAAGGTCTGGCCCTGTGGCTGAGTGCTGGCCCTGTGGCCCCTGCTGCAACAGCCCGGGGTTTCAGTGGTTCAGATCCTGGGCACAGACATGGCACCACTCATCAGGCCACGCTGAGGCGGATTCCCACATGCCACAACTAGAATGGACCCACGACTAAAATATACAACTAGGTACTGAGGGGATTTGGGGAGAAAAAGCAGAAAGAAAAAAAAGAAGATTGGCAACAGTTGTTAGCTCAGGTGCCAATCTTTAAAAAAAAAAAAAAGAAAAATACAATTTATTAAGTTTATTTTATTAAAAAATACCGAAGAGAGTAAACTCTTTTGGGTTCCTGAGAAAGGAACAGAAGAGACTGGAGCAGAAATTCCAAGGGCACACCAGGGAAGGTAGAAGCCTTCCTACCCCTCCTTGCCTGTGTGAGGGACAGACAAGGCCCCGACTGAGACATCTGTGAAAGAAACCAGGAGACAGAAGGCCTGAGTGGAAGAAAAGGCCCAGGTGAGGCTCAACTAATACCCAAGCAAGATCAAAAGAGAAAGGAAAAGAAAGGTCTAAGAATCTTAGCAGCTGAACAAGAGTGAGATGCCCTAGGGCTTTATTTCTTTAAACCTTGCTCTGCAGCAGTGAAGCCTTTTTAAAGCAGTGTCTAATATTAAATATAGTTCTTACAATACAGCTTTATTTTAATGAAAACAATATTCACTAGCAAAGTACCTTAGTATAGCTCTAGACTCGCCACCTGGTTCATCCAGCCCCTAGAGTGTAACAGTCACCACTCTACAACTCATATTCTAACCCAAGACCAGAAGCCAAGAGAAATCAAACACGTGCCAGAGCAAGGCCGCCGTCCTTTGCTACTTGCAGACTCTGGACCTTGGCAAGTGTGGACCTGGTGTGAACGGTCTTAAGGATAATGGTCTGAGTTAACACAATATTGACTACCAGCTGGAGGGTGAAGGTGGGAGGGTGGAGACGGGCTCTGACACTGTTTCCTTAAAATTGGTTTACTCCCCCACCCCCCACCCCCCACCCCCAGTGTGCTAAGCTTTCTTTTTTTGTGTCTTTTTCACCTCCCTGAGTGGACTCCATGCATGGGCTCGTGAAAGCAACAAAACCATCTCCTAATCACCTGGGGAGATGAAGGGGCGAGCCCAACTTAGATACTCCTCAGGTTCGTATTTAAAGAACCACTGCAATTCTTAGCTCTTCTTCAACAGCTCCACGTTCCCCTCCAACAGCTGTGGGGACCACTCTCAAGGACAAAGCAACCTCTCTCCATCTGATGACTGTCCACCCAAACCAGCGAAAGCTGTGCTCACATGTAGAAAACGGCCTTCCAGGTGAGAGAGCCAGCTACCGAACTGAGGCGTTGAGAGGGAAAACCTGTAGATTTCAGGGCATGATGAACTTAGAGAGTGAGGAATATACATAGTTTAGAACTGCTCTCCGGTATTATCACAGACTGGGGTACTACGGTGCCCGCCCGGTGCAAACGGCTCTCAAACTCCACTTGTTTACTGTTTACGGATGTAATCAGGGCTTAATGGACACAAACACAGCCATGATAATGAGTACCCCAGAACTTGGTCCTCCTCTCGCGGTATCAAAGAAGAAGCAACTGTGGAATCCTGCACAAGGAGTATGCTAAAGGTTTGTGGCAAGGAAGGGCCAGAGAAGGGGCTTCTGGAACTTTCCTGGGAACAGAAGGCGCAGCAGCGGCCTCCTTGGCGGTGGTCAGCAGTGCAAGGCAGGAATGTGGGCAGGGAAAGCGTCGAAGGTGTCCACCAACTGGAGGTGTGACGGGGTGACCACGAGCCCCAAGCCAGGCCACTGTCACCGCAGCGCAACTTGGTCCAGAAACCCCAAGCCCAGGGAGATGGCTGGCAGACCTGGGCACATGTAGGCATACCTGAGCACAGCTAGGGGCCTGTGTGGGGTGGGTGGGTGGCAGTCAGGGCGGCCCCCACCACGATGGCGAGGGGACAGCAGCCTTGACCACCTGGGGCAGATGCCCCACGGGCTGCAGACGCCTGCTCTCCCCAGGGAGCGCTCCGAATTCTGGCGGGAGGGAGGCAACCCAGACACTCACCGCGTTGCCCAAGGCGCCGACCGCGAGCAGCTGCGAACGCAGGGACGCAGAGCAACGGAGCAGCGCGGGAAGCCCGGGCATGTCCGGGGCGCGGGGGGTGGGGCCGGCCCGGGGGCGGGGCCTGGGCTACGCGAAGCGGGGCGGGGGCGGGGCCGAGGTTTGGGGGCGTGGTCGAGCGCAGGGGGCGGGGCCTAGACGTAAGAGTAGCGGGGCCGGAGCGCCGGGGCGGGGCCCAGAGTGGGGCGGGGCCTGGACATGGAATCGCGGCCGAGGGGCGCGGAGCAGGAGCACGGGGGCGGGGCCATACAGAGGCCCTCGGGCAGGGCTCAGAATGGGGCGGGGATTGGGCGAGCGGAAAGCGGCGCCGAGGCGCGGGGGCGGGGCCTCGACTGCGGCGGGGGCGGGGCCGAGCACGGGCACCCCCTTTCCGCCCCCGAGCGCTCGCCAGGATCGGAGCATGCCCAGTGCAGGGACGCCGGGCCGCCCCCTCTCTGCGCAGTCTCGCTGGCTGTCCTGCGCCGGCAGGCCGGGGTCCTCCTGCCCTGCTTGTGCGCCCCGCTTCTTCCTCGCGGTTCAGGCTCCGCGCTGCTGCCACTGCAGGCCCTTCCGCCAGCACCTTCCCCACCTCCGCTTCCGCCTCTCAGGTTGTATGCCTCAGTTCACCAGATGTCAGCCCCGTACCCCTTCGTGTATGCCTCCTGCCACGTGCCAGGAGAGGTGTGGAGTCACAGGCCGGGCCTTGAGACACGGCGACAGGTGCACCCAGTACCGTGTTGCTAACTCCCACTTCAGGGGTCTGCGCGACCGGTGCACATGCATTCCCCCGGGCTGCTCCCAGAGGGCAGGGACCCGCGGGACTCAGCGGCCACCAGTGGGATTCCTTGCCAGCAAAGGAGCTTGGGGTCAGCCTCTAGTGCCCATCGTGGGTGGTGGCTGTCCAGGGCTCCTCAGGTGCTGCCAGCTCCCCGTGACTTAGACACTCCCAGGTTCCTGGGCCCTGACGGCCAGGCCAGTCTCAGTTGCTATTCGGTGAGCACATGGGTGCCAGGCACTGCTTGGTGTTGTGCGGACCTTATTATGGGTAAATTGTGTTCCCCCAAAAGATGTGTCCGAGTCCTAACCCCCAGTACTCAGAATGTGACCTTTTGGAGACAGGATCTTTACAGAGATAAGAAGTTAGAATGAGGTTATTGGAGTGAGCCCCTCATCCACTGTGGCCGATGTCATAGGCAGAAGGTCACGTGAAGACAGAGACATAGGGAGAACTCTGTGTGAAGATGGAGGGTGGGGATGATGCATCTACAAGCCAAGGAACACCCGGGACTACCAGAAGCTGGAAGAGATGCGTGGAACACATCAGTCGCTAGAGCCTTCAGAGGGAGCATGGCCCTGTAGACACCTCGATTTCAGACTTCCAGCCTACAGAACTGTGAGACAATACTGTGTGTGTTATTTCAAGCCACTCAGTTTGTGGTACTTTTTATGGCAGCCCTAAGAAATAATATAGACACATCATATCCAACTTCATCGCGGTAACACCCCAAGCAAGTGGTATCCCCCAAAGCTTGAGGGAGGTCAAACACCTGGTGGCAATTTCAGGCCCATATTCTAAGCCACCATGCCATGGACCTCCTAGTTTTTCTGTTTTCTTAATGGGAGAGAAATCTTTGCCTTCCCAGTATGTATAACTCCTCTGCTGGGATTGGGCCAAAATTCATGTCTTGGTGTTTGTGACTCGCATGACCTGACCCAGCATATTAACATCATTAGTAAAAGGTTGTTCAGAGAACCTCTGCAGGCTTTGCCTTGTGACGGGCCTTGGAGACCCTCTACAGGCCACATCATGGATCCTCTCAAGAGCCCCATGGAGCCCACTCCTTGGCTGAAACCCACTTGAACTAGCTGCTCATGGAAAATGAACCAGTACACAGTGGTGATCAAATCAAGGTGCTTTTACTCCAAAATCAAGACACTTTTTCTCCACTGAGCCTGGACACACTCTCAGAATCCTTCTCAGCACTGTTCCAGACAGCCATAAGCATTTAAGCTAAGATGGAGGGAGAACTGAAATACGTTTGCTATTTGTTCTGGTCTTTTCTATTGTGGTCTGTTGTATTTGTTCTGTCTATGTGTTCTGGTCTATTTCTATTTCTACTGCAAAACTTTAGGAAACTCATCAGCTACTCTAATCCTCAATGTCCTCATCGGTAAAGGATTTTTATAATAAGCAACTCTTTGTAGGGCAGGCACAGAGGGGTAATAAACATCAACAACAACAATACACCTGTCCTCTTATCGTCTCTTACTACCAGGACCCAATCAGAGCTTGGATCCCAACAGAACTGAAAAGGAAAATAACACCAAAATTGAATCAGGATGCCTACTAGCATCCTAACAAGTGTACTGTGATGTAGTTTTAGAACTAGCACATAAATCCTACTTCTCTTTTTATCTGAACAGTATTTTAATATGAATTCCTAAACTATTAATAAAAAGGACCAGCTAGCGTTGGCCTCTCTGATTCCCACCCCAGGAAAGAAAGGCCTGTGTGGTGATCCAATGGCCTTTTAGATGGGTTATGTGGCATTGGGGAGGGTAGGAGAGTGTGGCATCCAGGACGTATGATTGGGCCTGGCTGTGCTGACAGGACTCAGTCGCCCTTGCTAAGAGGTTGAGGGACACTGCAGCTGCCTTCACAAGGGGCTCCAGGGTCAGGAGCCAAATAGGGGTCTGGGAACCAAAGGAGGCAGGGGAAGGGCCACCACCCCTGCCCACTGACTGGCCCTGCCAAAGACTAAGACTCTAAAATGGGATATCTCAGACTCTCCGGTGGGCAGAACTAAACTCTGCACGCCCTGCACTTGTTGCTAAGTTCTTTCCTTCTTGGTGATAATTTTCAAAAACAAATCCTTTTCTCAAAAGTTCCCTATGCCTCATTCTCTTGTCCCATTACCCCTGCATCCTCACCTACATGCACTTCCTTTCGTTAAAGCCACACAAGGATAGCTCCACATCAGGGGGGCGGGGGGATAGCCTGGGGTGTAAGGAACACAGGGTGAGGAGATCTGGGCTGTGGTCCCGCCAGCCTCTCACTGTGCAATCCACCTGACTGCTCTGCTTGTAGGAGGACAGCATTGCACTAGACGGGTGAGGTTCCTTTGGGGTTTCCCATCTTCGAATTAATAATTCGTATCCCTTTCGTCTCGGGACACCGATTCCCATGAATGACTTTTTACAAGAGAGGTGGAAAACCACAGGAGTGCGTGCTCGACTTTACTCTGGCTTCTTCCCGGGCCTGCCTGGATGTCCTTTACGATCAGCCGGCTTTCTTGTGAGCACCGGGAACGATGTTAATTTGCTTCCTTCTTTAAACATCCAAACGGATACCTTTCAGGTTATACAAATGAAAACGCGACATGTGATTGCTTCCAGTGATTTGCAACCTAAGAAATTTGTTTAATAAGCCTCTCTCTCCAAGCTACTTTTGTGACATGAGAGACCGTTTACAACAAAGCTGTCTTCAGTAGTCAAACTTAATCCTTACTACCCTGCCTTTGGGAAAAGGAGGGATTTTATAACGATCACATAAAACCTTGTGTGGTTTGAAAGCCCCAAACTCCGGACAAACGTGCGAGGGTCATGTAACAAAAGAAACATATTACGGAGCTCACCACTCTGAGTATTTCACACACGGTTTTCCTTTAGGATGGCATCCCCAGTGGAGAGCTCGCGATTAGCACCATCGATTTTCTCAGCCCCCTATGTTCCTGTAAGGGTTGGAGCCAAGAGCCAGCCACAGTCAGCACCTTGGACCTGGGTGGTACAGCCAACCAGCGTGTGATGCAGGGGGCCCAGAGCACTGTGGTGGAGGGTGGGGGCCTTCAGAACCAGGAGGTGGGCGCTAGCTGTCTCTGATTACACTCTGATCCACACTAGTTCTCCACATAGCTGGAGCTCGTAGTACAATTGCAACAGGGGTGTCATCTACAAGTGGGCAAAAGAAAGGGCGGGAAGGATAGGCTTCAGACTCCACCCTCACACAGAGGGTGAAGGGTGGGTGCAGGGTGGGAAAGGGGAGCAAGGTGCCACCGTACCTGGAAGGTTGTGCATGCTTAGCTCTTGCATTCCTACAAAGAGTCAGAAAACCCTTCTGCCCAGGGTCCCTGAGTGTTGCTGCTGAGATCCAGAACCCCTTCAGGCTCACCTTGGGCTGGGGCTCTGCCAGAGGTGGCACAAGGATTCCCATTCCGAAGACTCTCACTGAGACCTGCTTTTGCTGGCCTGGTTGGTGCAGGGCTTGAAGATGCTGTGCTTAATGCGACTTGTTACAGCTCTCACAGCACTCCCAGTTGAATGGTTTCGACAGATAAAGAAATGGGGTTTGCAGTCTGGGACAGTGAGCATCTACCCAGGATATGTCCTAGGGGTAGTGGGGGTGCAAAACAGAGCCTCTCCCTGCAGTGAGGACCCCTTCCACAAGCCCTTTCCAAGAGTCCCTATGTGCCTGACCGCGTGCTGCCTGTGGCCCCACGTCGAGGGGGCATGTAGAGCAGCCAGGGCATCTGCTGGAGTTGAAGGAATAGTGGAAAGGAAGGCCTGAAAGAGAAAATGCATGGCACCTGCGTTCTATTAGGGGAAACACCCACACAGGTAAAGGAACACTGTTATTTGTGGAATTTGGATCCAGTTGTCCAGTAATCGTTGGCCGAAGATCATCCCAAATTTTAGATAGCGCTTCCTTCCAAAATATGGCGACCTTAGATAACTGAGTATCCAGGGAAGGGATGTAATATATGTAAACAGTTAATACAGTTCAGCTCTTCCGACATCTATGTCATTGGGTAGATTGCCTTAGAGAGCTGCTTCTGCAAATGTGAAGGCTTTGGGGGAAGTTTTCTCAGCCTGCGCTGGGCTATTTGAGGGTGGATCACTCAGGACCAGGAATTTTGTTAGATGTTGGCCTTTTTGAAAGCAGCGCCTACACTCATTACAAAGTGTTTCTGATCCATTTTCAGGAAGCGCTCTGTTTGTAACACGTTGTTGGCAGTTTGGGCAGAGTCTTTTAAGTGGTGTGAAGTGCTGGGGAGT